AGTAATGTTAGGTCATCTTATTGTATTTAGTCATGATCTCTTTCTTACTTAGCACATCTCTCTTTAAGATCTTGTCCCTCTTCTGTGAGATTTGTGGAGAAGAAGAGATCTTCATAAAATCACCATGCTGCAAAAGTGAATATCACTGGCACTGCCTTAACCAGTGTAGGAAAAGGGGTTACACAACCTGCATTTACTGCCAGCTTCCTATGCAGTTCTCACAGCACTACCTATTGAGATTATTATGGTGTGGAGTAGATGACAGTGGAAGCAGTGGTGGAGGAAGAGGGGCTGGAAGGAGAGGAAGAAGAGTAGAAGGAGGAGGAAGAAGAGGAGAAGGTGGAGGAAGAGAAGGAGGTGGACATGATGGTTATGGGGGATGTGACAGTGGAGGAGGGGATGATGGTGGGAGAGGGGATGATGGTGGGAGAGTGGATGATGATATTGATGGAGAAAATGATGGAGGAGGAAGTGACAGTCAAGAGGAAGGTTGTGGCAGAGGAAGGAGTGGCAGCATGGAAGGGGATGAAGGTGATGGTGGTGGTGGAGTTGATGATGGAGGTGGTGGAGTTGATGATGGAGTTGTTGGAGTTGATGATGGCATTGGTGGAGATGATGATGGAGTTGGTGGAGTTGATGATGAAGTTGGTCGAGATAATGATGGAAGAAGTGGAGATGATGATGGAGGTGGTGTTCGTGGAGAAGGTTCACCATTATCTCCTCCACAACCATTACCTCTTCGGCTGTTGTTGCCACCTCTTCATCTACTGCCTTTGCCTCCTTTGCCACCATCAGCTGATAACAGAGACGAAGAGGAAAATTCTGAAGGAGGGGATGATAACGAAGGCCGAAATGAGAATTCAGGTAACTTTTTTTGAGTATTTTAGTTTAAGACCCACAAAAATTTACAGGCACGTTACTCGTTGTAATGGCTCTTTCCAGCCAGTAGTTTAAAGTGTTAAAGTGGTACTGGTGTGTTGTTGATGGGTGTGGTAACTATGTTGGAGAATGAAGCATCCTTACGTTTCTTACTCAGAGTCTTTTCTCAACAATGACTGCCTTGCAGCGTGGTTGCTTCAAGTATGGGGGTGGATCAGAAACACCCCTACTGACTTAATGATACCGAAATCTGGAGAAGTTCTTGCGTTCTGGGCTAGTTGTGTGCTTTTGTTGACTTCTTCCAACCTCTATCTGTCCCTATCGTCTAAGCTCGATTACCAACCGCTGTTTATGAAATGAACCCGCGTACCTCCCTTCAGTTTAGTAGAAGTTTCGAGATATCGAGACTCGGGGTCCGAAATTAACTTTATCCTAAGGGAGCCAACTGGCGACTAACCTACAAATTTTGGTCGCCAGATGGACGGGTTTGGTCGCCAAAAACAAGTGTTTGTTTATTTCTTGGTTTCTTGCTTGCCACGCCACGATCGCGGCTTCGCCGCTGAATTTGTCGCAAACTAAAGAAAACGTAATCCCTCTGAAACCCATGGAATAACTTACCTTATCGTCTGCTCTTTCGTGGTTCAAGTCTTATTTGGAAGGGAGATCTCAAAGAATTTGCATAAAAGAGACGCTTTCACAATCATTTGATTTGAAGTGGGGTGTACCTCAAGGTTCTTGCCTTGGTCCGCT